ATAAAAAATGGGAAGAAGCTGCACCTGCACAGAGGAGACTCGCCATGTTTTGAACTGGTCAACACAAACGTTAGTGAATAATGCGAAGAATTTTCGTGCTCTAGAGGTTAAAATTGGGCTGACACCTCTCAAATAGGAGACGAAATTGTTGGATATGCATTCCTGCATAACTTGATATAAGGTGACTGGACAAACAATCCAGGAATTTCAGAAAGTCTCATTTGTAACCTGGCCATGTATTTTATAGATAAAAGTGAGGTTTTTCTGAGTATGATGACCTTAATCTCCAGTCAAATTGGTGAGTAATATTAAGATTATTCTCCCCTTTTGTTTTTAAAAAGTGTGTATTAAATATTTAATTTTAAATTTTAATAACAGCCACAAACTTAATTTTACCAAACTTGTGAGCATACGTATTTTTATTTGTAATTAATGGTCTAAAACCCGGGTGCCAAAGGGCAAATTAAATGTGGAAAAATTTCATTTATTTTGAATGTAACTAATTATGTACATAACAGTAAATATAAAAAAGATAATTTTTTATTTATCAAAGTTAATAGACAAGTAGGAATTTGGGAACCTAGGTCGCAAAAAAATTTCCCCCCTTTGATACCTCAAAGTCATATCCACAAGTTTCCCCCTTGACCTATTTTTAAAATGAAATATGATCACCAGGGTTCTGGTAAAAAATATAAATTTTGGACTGTATATTAAAAAATTTAAAAAATTTATAATAACAATTTACATAAAGAAGGAGAATTATCTTAAATCATCCCAATTTTACTGGAGATTAATGTGTACATACTCAGAAAACCTCACTGTTATGAAAATAACACTGGCCAAGTTAAACATAAAACTTTTCTGAAGTTCCCGGAGTTGTCTTGTTCAGTCACCTGATATCTCAAATTTGCAGGAAAAGCACATCCAATAATTTCGGTCTTTTATTTGAGAGGGTCAGCCCAATTTAAACCCCCAGAGCACAAAATTCTTCCCATTATTCACTAACGTTTTTGGGTTACCAGTTCAAAACAGGGGGGTTCCTCTGCCGGCGCAGCTTTTCCCATTTTTATAACATAAATTTTTATTTAAAAACAGTATGACCATCAATTTTTTATTAAAATACATTAAACTGCTTGGGGGGAGGGGAAAGGCAAGTTCCCCCGGGGTTTCACTGGGAAAACCCACATAAAGGATCCTTTGGGAACAAATATGGATCCCAGGGAAAAAACCTATACAGATTGACAGAGGAACAGGGAAAAGGGGGGGGGGGTGAAAAGGGAAAATGTTTGGGGTTGGCTGTAATTTTTAAAATGAGAACCAAACCCCGTTGTTTCTCAACCCAAAAAACATCCCTTCCCCCTGTTTTAAAAATTAAATGTTAAATCTTATTAAAATTTTCCCCATTTAAAAAACAAAATAAAAAGGATAACCAAATTTTTGGGGATTTAAAAAACAAGACCAGAAAAACCCCACCACACACAAAACCCCCACCCCCAAACAAAAAACCCCCAAAAATAGGCCTAAAACCTGGGGAAACATAATATTTTAAACCGAGAATAAAAAAAAGTCAAACAAAAACTATACTGATCACAACAAATTGGGTTCAGACATGTATGCGTGGAGCCCCAGACCGACAAAAAAAGGGGAAAAAATTTTCACGAGGGGAAAATTCACCAAATTCAACTTCAATAAAAAACAAAAACATAAAGTTTGGGACCAAGTAAACCAAGTCCCTAACCATATAAAATGGGAAGGGTATACTAAGAACACAGACCCAAAAATTTTCCTAGAACAGATTAACTCGGGGGCACTCGTGAACACAAGCTTTTCCTCTAAGAAAAAAGGGGGATAGATGTAAAAAAAAAGAGCAGGCGCTCCCTTTCAGGCGCGGAAAAGAATAACAACGGCTAAAAGAGGTCTAAATCTAAATGCGCGGGAGACCTGGGCAGAGAAAAAGCAAGCATGACTTAAGCTAAAAGAAACCTTTAGGAGTCAGGAAACCCCGGGAAAAACAAAAGCCCTAAATGAATCGAAAGAAACCCCAAAATTTTCTTTTCCCATGCCAAATCAAATCGAGAACAATCCCTATTGGGCCCCTACTTAAACAAGATGGGGCCTACACAGAGAAGCAAGGGAAAAAAGGGGAGCACTCAAGCCCAATATGCTCAGTTTTTAGCAAGCCGCAACCAACTGAGAGCGAAGATCAAAATGAATTTTTTTAAGAGAGCCCCAAAATTTGATTAACACAAGCCCATCCGATGTTATCCTACGCCAATGACTTCGAACAGGCGATAAATGACATCCCATGCACTTGCCCCAGGGCCAGACTATGGAACTCTGTGTTCAAAAGAAATGCAAGAACCCCTATCACGAGCCTTTTTTCCCCCTTGGAGAGGGGAGCATGGACCGGGGGGCGTCCCCGTTACTAAAAACAAAAGACATAGCCCCCCCCCACAAAGGGGGCATAAAGCAAACAGCAAAAAACTCAGCCAATGCACTAACATCCCATATCATAAAAATTTTGAAAGGGCCCAAAAAGCAAACACCACCCATTAGAAACCCATCAGTTTTCACAACCCAGGGCAACATGGGTTTAGAACAGGTCGCTCCTGTCTTCTCAACTACTGGATCACTACGACAAGGTCCTAAATGCACTAGAAGACAAAAAGAATGCAGATGTAATATATACAGACTTGAAAAGCCTTCGACAAGTGTGACCATGGCGTAATAGCGCACAAAAAGCGCGCTAAAGGAAATAACAGGAAAAGTCGGTCGATGGATCTATAATTTCCTCACTAACAGAACACAGAAGTAGTCGTCAACAGAGTAAAGTCCGAGGCAGCTACGGTGAAAAGTCTGTTCCACAAGGCACAGTACTAGCTCCCATCTTGTTCCTCATCCTCATATCCGACATAAAACAAGGATGTCAGCCACAGCACCGTGTCTTCCTTTGCAGATGACACCCGAATCTGCATGCAGTGTCTTCCATTGCAGACACTGCAAGGCTCCAGGCGGACATCAACCAAATCTTTCAGTGGGCTGCAGAAAACAATATGAAGTTCAACGAGGGAGAAATTTCAATTACTCAGTATGGTTAAAAAAGAGGAAATTAAATCTTCATCAAGTACAAAAAAATTCTGGCCACAAAATAGAGCGAAACACCAACGTCAAGACCGGGGAAAGTGTTATGTCGGAGGATCTCAACTTAAAGGACCATAACATTGTATCAATCGCTCTGCTAGAAAAATGACAGGATGGATAATGGAAAACCCTTTAAAACTAGGGAGGCCAAGCCCATGATGAACTCTTCAGGTCACTTGTTCTATCTAGGCTGGAATATTGCTGCACTCTAAACAGCACCTTTCAAGGCAGGTGAAATTGCCGACCTAGAAAATGTACAAGAACTTTCACGGCGCCTATACGGAGATAAAACACCTCAATTACTGGGGCGCTTGAGGTTTCTAAACCTGTATTCCCTGGAACGCAGGAGGGAGAGATACATGATTATATACACCTGGAAAATCCTAGAGGGACTTGTACCGAACTTGCACACGAAAATCACTCATACGAAAGCAAAAGACTTGGCAGACGATGCACCATCCCCCCCAAAGAAAAGCAGGGGTGTCACTAGCACGTTAAGAGACCATACAATAAGTGTCAGGGGCCCGAGACTGTTCAACTGCCTCCCAGCACACATAAGGGGGATTACCAACAGACCCCTGGCGTCTTCAAGCTGGCACTGGACAAGCACCTAAAGTCAGTTCCTGATTCAGCCGGGCTGGGGGCTCTACTTTGGTTTTGGGCGTGCCCCAAAGCACAAACCCTGGTTGATCAGGGGGCTGTTTCCACCAGGGGCCTGGTCCCCAGACCGGGCCGGGGGGGCTTTGCCCCCCGAAACTCTCCCCCAGGAAAAACTCCAGGAAAACAGAAATTTTCCACCCCCCCAATAAAAAGGGCGGGGGTGTAAACAGACGTTAAGAGAAAATACAAAAAAAGTGTCGGGGGCCCGAAAACTGTTCAACTCCCTTTCCCGCATCCCATAAGGGGGATTACCAAGACCCCTGGAAGTTTAAAGGGCTGGACTGGAAAGCACCTAAAGGGTCCCTGCCCACCCGGGCTTTTGGCTCGTACGTTGGATTTTGGGGCGCCGCAGAAACAGGGGTTTGGATCGGGGCTTTTGATTCCCCGGGGCTTGGTCACAAAACCGGGCCGCGGGCGCGTTAAACCCCCGGAACTCTCTCCAGTAAATTTCCAGGAAAAACCCCCCTTGTATGCGGGAGCATATGGGCAGGTTTTAAAATTAACTTAAGTTTAAAACTAAGAAATTGATATGTTTTTCATGGTAAAAGAAATTTTGAAAAACAGATAACAATTTACAGAAAATGGCATTTTCAAAGACAGGTAAAAATGGTCATTTTCGTGTTGCCGGGGCATCCAGTAGAATGGAGTAAATTTTGTTAGGTATGTTAGGTATTCTGTTAAAAAAGAAAAAGATAAGCTTTCGTTTTGGATTTTTTTAAACCCCCCCGGGTTAGCCACCCAGGATAACCCCAAAAAAAGTCGTGCGTCTCGAGGGGGTTTTTTAAAATTTTTTTCCCTTGGGGTCCTTAATCTTGCCCCCAGGTGCGACCCACAAAACCCGTCCCACTTTAAAACCCAGGACCTATTTTCTGCTAGGGGGAAAAAGGACAACAGGTGTAAGGAAACGTGAAAAAATGTTTCCAACCCCCCGGGGAATCGAAAACCCCGGGCCCCCCCGTGTGTGAAGTGGGGGCTTTAGCCAAAACCCGGGCCCCCGGGAGGTTGCAACAAGAGCAGATGCAGCCCTGGGCCCGAAGATCCCGTTTTTAAACCATCAGTGTTATAACCCTTTTGATAATTTATTACTACCAGCTAGGCGAGAAATTTCTTCTTGAGCAGCTGAATAAACTTACTTATTCTTTTCCGGACACAGGAAGGTAGGGCTCGGTACGGCGTAAATTGTCTGTGACCCTATAAACCCAAACAACAACAATAATAAGACGACGACTTGATTGTGTACAGTGTGTATACCATCTGTTGCTGCTGTACCATCTGATGCTGTGCCACCAGCTGGTACATCACCGGCTTTTACTGTACCACCTGCACCCACCCCACCTGCTGCACCACCTGGAGTTTACCTGGAGAGAGTTCCGGGGTCAACGCCCCCGCGGCCCGGTCTGTGACCAGGCCTTCTGGTGGATCAGAGCCTGATCAACCAGGCTGTTACTGCTGGCTGCATGCAATCCAACGTACGAGCCACAGCCCGGCTGGTCAACAACCAATAAAAAATACACATTAATTGAGGTGAGATTTACTTGTTTTTGTGTCATCAGGTGAGCAGGAGCTGCCTCTTATTGTAATTGTAATATTTACCTTCAAGGTGTGTAGTGCCTCGATGCTGCTGATGGGATCTTGATCCAAGGAACTTGAGCTGCCTTTTTTGGGTGTTGTATGACATTCAGTAGTAGTTTAAATATTATGGTGCCCCCAGGCCTGGTGGCTAAAGCTCTCTCTTCACATGGTGAGGATCTGGGTTCGATTCCCGGTGGGGGTACAAACACTGAGCGTGTTTCTTTACTCCAGTTGTCTGTGATTAACCATCAGTAAAATGGGTACCTGGTTGTTAGTCGACTGGTGTGGGTCGCATCCTGGGATAAAATTGACCTAATTTGCCCAAAATGCTCTGCATGACAAGTGGCTTTCTATATAGTAGTATGTCACTGATGTCAGCTAGACCTGTATACCTTGTACATGTACTTGTAGAAATAAAGATATTTTTATTATTATTTATTATCGCACTGGCCGATTCCCACCAAGGCAGGGTGGCCCGAAAAAGAAAAACTTTCACCATCATTCACTCCATCACTGTCTTGCCAGAAGGGTGCTTTACACTACAGTTTTTAAACTGCAACATTAACACCCCTCCTTCAGAGTGCAGGCACTGTACTTCCCATCTCCAGGACTCAAGTCCGGCCTGCCGGTTTCCCTGAACCCCTTCATAAATGTTACTTTGCTCACACTCCAACAGCACGTCAAGTATTAAAAACCATTTGTCTCCATTCACTCCTATCAACACGCTCACGCATGCCTGCTGGAAGTCCAAGCCCCTCGCACACAAAACCTCCTTTACCCCCTCCCTCCAACCTTTCCTAGGCCGACCCCTACCCCGCTTCCTTCCACTACAGACTGATACACTCTTGAAGTTATTCTGTTTCGCTCCATTCTCTCCACATGTCCGAACCACCTCAACAACCCCTCCTCAGCCCTCTGGACAACAGTTTTGGTAATCCCGCACCTCCTCCTAACTTCCAAACTACGAATTCTCTGCATATATTATCACCCACACATTGCCCTCAGACATGACATCTCCACTGCCTCCAGCCTTCTCTCGCTGCAACATTCATCACCATGCTTCACACCCATATAAGAGCGTTGGTAAAACTATACTCTCATACATTCCCCTCTTTGCCTCCAAGGACAAAGTTCTTTGTCTCCACAGACTCCTAAGTGCACCACTCACTCTTTTTCCCTCATTCAATTCTATGATTCACCTCATCTTTCATAGACCCATCCGCTGACACGTCCACTCCCAGATATCTGAATACATTCACCTCCTCCATACTCTCTCCCTCCAAATCTGATATTCAATCTTTCATCACCTAATCTTTTTGTTATCCTCATAACCTTACTCTTTCCTGTATTCACCTTTAATTTTCTTCTTTTGCACACCCTACCAAATTCATCCACCAATCTCTGCAACTTCTCTTCAGAATCTCCCAAGAGCACAGTGTCATCAGCAAAGAGCAGCTGTGACAACTCCCACTTTGTGTGTGATTCTTTATCTTTTAACTCCACGCCTCCTGTCAAGACCCTCGCATTTACTTCTCTTACAACTCCATCTTTTAAGTAATTAAACAACCACGGGGGACATCCCAACCCTTTGGGGGGTCTAAGGCCTATTTTTAAACTGGGAAAAAATTTCCCCTTTTTCCTACATATTCAAAACTTGACCCTCCCTACCCCTCGTAAAAATCTTCCCTGCTTTCAAAACCCTTTTCCCTCCCTACCCCTTTACATTTTGCAACATCTCCCCAAACATTCCCCCCCTTATCCACCCTGTCATACCCTTTTCCAAAATCCATAAATGCCAAAAAAGACCTCTTTAGCCTTTTTAAATACTTTTCCCTTTTATGTTTCACTGAAAAACCCCTGGCCCCACACACCCCTACCTTTCCAAAAGGGCCTCCTTGTTCTTCTGTTTCCCCTATTCTCCATCTTACTCTAATTCTTTCAATAATAATTTCCCCTTTCCCTTTTCCCTTTATCTCAGCAAAATTATCCCCCTAAAATTTTTGCACTCTCTTTTTTTCCCCTTTGCCTTTTTTAAAAAGGGAACTATGCTTGCTCCCCTGCCAACCCCTTTGGAAACCTTTTCCCCTTTTTCCATAATTTATTAAAAAATTGCACCAACCACCCAAAAAACTATTCCCCACCTGCTTTTAAAAATTTCTATTTTTATCCCATCAACCTGGTTTTCCCTTTAAACCCCCTTTATTTTACCTCCCTTGCCTCCGAATTTCCCCCCACCCTCCCCAAACTGGCTTTTCCCTTTCACCCCACAAGATTTTATTCCTCCTTGTCCTATACACGAAATCACAGTTTCCCCATCTTCATAAACCCATTTAAAAATTCCTCAAAATATTCCCCCCATTTCCCCCAAAACCCCTAACTCTCCATTTTTAAAAACTTTTCCTCTCCTATTTTTAACTGACAAATCCCTTTGTTCTCTAGGTTTTTAACTTGTTAATCTCACTCCCAAAAATTTTTCTTAAAATTTTTTAACAAAAATTTTTTTTTATTTGTTATTATTATTATTATTATTATTATTAATTTTTATTATTAGTAGTTTTTAGTATAGTAGGAGTAGTAAGTTCAAGTTCTGTTTAAAAAATTTACATTGTTAAATTTTTTTGTTTGATCCAAGATTAAAAAATTTACCAAATTTTCTTTATTTAACCAAGGTAAATTTGGTGGTAAAAAAAGGGAAATGGGCCCCGGAAAAGGAAATACTTTCTGCCCTGCCCAAATGAGGGGTGAAACAGAAAAACCCGTAAGTGTTTTACATGAATAACCCGGGATAACTTTCTACTTCACTTACACTGAGGTCACAGTTTCACAGGCTGCACATGCAGTATTAAAAACACAAAATCCCAGTTTTTTTCTTTTTTTTAATTGTTTTGTTCTTCTTTTTTTCCTCTATTCCCCCATGGGGGAAAAACGGGAAAAAAATCTTTCCTCCCATTTAAACCATGATGTCATGTGGGGGCGAAAAAAAAAATAAAATGCTAGGAGGAAAGGGTTAGTAACCCTTTCTCCTGTAGGAAAAAACTAAAAAAAGGGGAAAAAAACTTTATAAAAAAATGGGGCACTTGAATGTGCATGGATGTAGTGTGGGTGAAATTTGAGAGAAATGATTCCTAATTTTTATGAAAGAAAAAAAGGGGGGGGTTTTGGCGAGTTTCAGTGGGGGGGAAATAAAAAGAGATTAAATCAGTAAATAAATTTAGAGAGTTAAAGCTAAGGAAAGGGGGAGCAGTTTTGTTTTAAGGGTCAAAATTTGGAAGAAGAGGAAAAAATAAATGTTAAATTTTAAAGGTTATTTGGAAATTAAAAAAAGGGGCAGATGCAAAAAGTGGGTCCTAATAAGTGTGTATGCCCTGGGGAAAAGAGGAAATGTAGAGGAGAAAAGAGAGAGGAATTTTTTGGGGGATATTAAGCGAAAGGGGAAGGGAAATTTTTTAAACCCAAATGAGAGAGTAAAAAGGGTAGGAGACCTAAATGAAAAATAGGAGAAAATTTTTAGAGGGGGGGGTTGGTAAGTTTGGGGTGCCAGGTTTTAAATGATAAATGGGGGGCCCTTTTTATTTTAAAATTTGTATAGAAAAAGGTTTGGTTATAGGTAATACATATTTTAAAAAAAACAGGATAAATAAATATACAAGATATGATGTGGGGCCCATAATGACAGTAGTTTTTTGGGAAATACATTGGTAGATAAAAGATTGTTGAGTAGATTTTCGGATGTACAGTTTATAGAGGGGCCACAGATATATCAGATCATTTTTAGTTGTAGCTACAGTGAGAGTAAAAGGTAAGATGGATACAAGGAAAATAAAAGGGCAGAAAATAAGAGAGAGGTAAAGGTTCATAACCAAAGGAGGAGGCAATTAGGGTAAGATATAAACAACTATTGGAGGATAGATGGGCTAGTGAGAGTATAGGCAATGGGGTCAAAGATGTATGGGGTAGGTTTAAGAATGTATGATGAGGTTCAGCAGAAGTTTTTTGGTTTCAGGAAAGTGGGTGTGGGAGGGAATAAGAGCGATTGGTGGAATGATGATGTAAAGAGAATTAGCGAGAAAAAGTTAGCATATAAGACGTTTTTACAAAGTAAAGTGATGCAAGTTGGGTGGAGTATATGGAGAGAAAAAGAGAGGTTAAGAGAGTGGTTAAGCAATGTCAAGAGAGAGCAAAGAAAGAGGGGTGAGATGTTATCAAAAAAATTTTGTTGAAAATAAGAAAAATTTTTTGAGTGGGATTAATAAGCTGAGGAACCCCGGGAATGAATGGATTTGATAGTTAAAAAATAGGAGAGGAGAGCTATTAAATGGAAATTTAGAGGTATTAGGAAGGTTTGGGGGGAATATTTTGAGAATTGTTAAAAAATGATGAAGATAAGGAAGCTATGATTTCATTATAGGGCAAGGAGGAATAACATCTTGTTGAAGTGAGGAAAAGGGCCCGTTGTGAGTGTGGGGAAGTTTGTGGGGCAATAGGTAGAATGAAAGGGGGTAAGGCAGCTGGGATTGATGGGGTAAAAGATAGAAATGTTTAAAAGCAGGAAGGGATATAATTTTGGAGTGGTTGGTGCTTTTATTTCATGAATGTATGGAAGAGAGTAAGGTACCAAAGGATTGGGCAGAGAGCATGCATAGTTCTTATGTATAAAAGCAAAGGGGACAAAAGAAAAGGGGCAAAAATTATAAGGGAATAAGTCTGTTGAGCATACCTGGTAAAGTGTATGGTAGAGTTATTATTGAAAGAATTATGAGTAAAATGGAGAGTAGAATAGCAGATGTACAAGGAGGCTTTAGGAAAGGTAAGGGGTGTGTAGCCCAAGGGGTTTACAATGAAACATATAAGTGAACAGTACTTAGATAAGGGTAAAAAAGTTTTTGTGGCATTTATGGTTTTGGAAAGGTGTATGACAGGGTGGATAGGGGAGAAAATGTGGCAGATGTTGC